GCAGCACAGTGAACACCATGACTGAGAACACTAGCCTGTGCATGGCAGTGACCTGTAAAGTGTAGTCATGAGTGAAGAGTCTTCAGATGACAATCAGGGAGTGCAGTTTGTGAGGAACAGCCCTTGTTAGAAGACTGTAATCAAGCAATACCTAGTTGAGTCACGAGATAGGTAACAGCGAGAAAGGACTGGAGTCATGAACACTGAAGCTGAGGAATCTATGGCGCCATTTCAAGGCAACAACCGCTGAAGACACAGCAGACTGAGAAGACTTAGTGCATGCTGTAGTGATCTGTAGTGTGTGAATTAGCGACAGCACTGTAATTAACTGTAGTTATGAGTTTCAAGAGTGCAATAAATCTAGTTACCAATCCAAACCCCATCTACAGCCACTGAACATGTGGCAATATCTTCTTTATTTCGCAGTTGGAATAAGATCCTGTTGCTTGTAGGCCCATTGCTGAGTATTCACTCAGCGCCTGCTGCTAGGAAACAGATTCTTGACAAGCAGCAATTGCACTACAACAATGAATCGTGTTTTCTATGTGGTCCATGCCTAGGGCTTTCATGCCATCTACTTTTCTCATAGACACAGGCCCCCTTAGGTTCGTCTTACACTGAATGGACAGAATATCCCCTTTGTCATTCATGTAAAATATGTGGGTGTAATCTTCAATAAGAGGATTACACGGAAACTGCACACAGAAATGACTGACACCAAGACCCTTTTTACAGAAAAATACTCCCTATTCAAAAGTGAGCTTTTAAGTACCAACATTACACTAACCCACCAGACACCTAGTTCTTAAAATCACAGAGCTTACAAAACAAGGTTCTCTGCAACACTGGAAATTTTCCATGATGCACACCAGTCAACGATTTGTACATGGCTTTCAACCTTCTGTATGTATATGATCACATAACAAAACTGTGTGGGCAAAAAGCAGAAGTCATACAAAATCATGAGAATGACCATGTTCACAGTACAGGACAAGGCAAAGCCAGACAGAGGAAATGTAAGAGGCTTAAACTTGGCAACTGTAAAGATTACAACCATTCAAATGACTAAGCTGCTACTGTAGCATAAGATAAGTAAGATACACTTGATCTGCACTGCAAAGCCTGTACTGACAGGGGACTTGTATATAGTACAAAATGAAGAATTTTCAATAACATGCTATATATGCAATATGTACTCTTGATAAAGGGCCAAGTACAGTATGCGCCAAAAATAGCAGTACTGAAACTCACGCATCTCAAACGCACGTGCATTTGTCGACGGGGCATACCTCCAGCAGCACGTGTTCCCAGTAGTGAAAAGGAAGTTGTGTTGTGCAGTTGATGTTGGAAATTGGTCTCTCGATGGAGGAAAAAGTATTCATAGTTGAGTATTACTTCCACTCATACGGAAGTGGTCATTAGACAACTAACTTCCTTGGTTTTGAGCGGCCAGATGTTATTGTCCAGAAACCGCTACATAGTACACATGTGACAAT